TGTATTAATACGGAAAGTAATCTGTTGGTGGTAATTATATATATATATATATATATATCAAATCGTAAAATGATTGAGCTGCAGTAAAATAATATAAAACATTCTCTTTAAATAGGAAACATTTTGGATAGAAAGAAAGTTCATACTTTAGATACCTTAGATCGTTATAATTGCTTTACTGCAATGTAAAAATTCCCGTCAACACTTGTTAGGGCCAAGACCAGGCACCTCAACCACCCAAACATAAGTCCTCCTCCTCCCTTCGTTTCCATTGCCACCCATCTATATCTACATCCATATCTATTCTGTTTGCCGTGAAAGAGACGAAAGCAACGTTGACGACCCGACCATGGACAATGTTCTTGTTGTTGTTCTCGTCGTCCTGCCCGGGACAAAAAAAGTTAGTAGATCCCACTGTGTAGAGCCCCACACCACCACCCACTTTTCCACCTCCGCCGAGAGGAGCAACAAACGCACAGTGGGTTCAAGCTGTGCAAATATTTAACTGATTTGATTGACAGCTGGTAAAGAGAAGTTGCTCTGTAGATTCAGGAATGTGCGTTGTATTTCTCAGAATTTTGATACACCATCTGCCTGATAAAATAACATACAATTCAAATTGGAAGGTGATTATTTGGGGAATGGTTTTAGCCATTGTTCTTCGACCCAAATAGTTGGCTTAAATATTTGCCAAAATGTTCACGTACTGAATGGATTAAATCAATAAATAATAAAGAATCTTGAGAATTAAAACGTGCCAAAGTTGGTTAGTTGGCTTTATATATAAATTAAATATTTGTTTTATATTTCAATGGCTCTCAGTAATAATTTTGGTAATTTAATAATTTCAAGATAATTAGTATTATATTAGCTAAAATGATCTATATAAATATTATTGCAAAATCCTTCTGCCTTATAATTCTCAACCAGTTTGTGTAGAGCTTTTATTCACATTATTTGCCAACTTCGAACCAATGTGCATCATCCATTGACAGCGCAGTTCTGGCCCGCTTTTGTGTATGTGCTTATTACAGTTATTTTTGGAAGGCAACACACACTAGCACACAAACACACATACACCGAGACTGTGTAAGCTTTTGTTTGCGCGTGTGTGTGTGTGTATGGTCTGTGTACATTTTGAGTTATGTATTCCGAATGTTGTTAATGCTATAGCTATAGCTATAGCTATAGCTATATGCAGGTTACATACGAACATCCAAACAATGGAGGATATAATATAATAACCACCCAATACTGCCCTAAACTAAAATCCAATTTATCTATGGAATAGGGGGATTTTGCAGGCTCCTTGATTCCCACTTACCGTGTATTGGTATTCTATCGTCGGGACTAGACATTTTGCATATGGAATTGGGGGAGGGCAGAACCTGCAACAAATCAGAAAATCAAATTAAACAATATTCCAAAAAAAATTAAGTTCAACATTTTAACAAGGAATTGCTTTATAATCTAGTAAAGTGTCTTACAACCAGTGCGAGATCTAGTCCCCCCATTAAGAAACATTTCCTATTTAAAAAAAAAAAAAAAACAGTTTTCCAGTGCAAGAAGAAAAAGAGATTGACTTTATCGGACCATTTCGAATTATGAGTCATTCGGGGAAGAATCTTTACCCATGGGTAATGCCACACTTCCTCAAACAAACACAAATAACAGATTGCACATATTTGTGTGTATATTTTAAAAATGAATGATTCCGCCAGATCGCAAAACAAAAATTTCATTCAAAATAAATTCGCAAAAAAAAAAAAAAACAGATAAACATGGAAAAATAAAACGAAAAACAAGTGCCTGATAAGGCAAGAATTTTTGGAAAATTTTTGTTGTGATTTTCAGAACTCCGATAATGATATGCAAAAATAAACTCTTGTTTGTTTCTCTCTTCTCGAATTTTTTGTTGGTTTGTTTACACAGTCGAGAACACTTGATAGGGGATTTTTTTTTCATTTTTTTTTTTTACTGATCGAAAACAGTATTAATGTTCTTTAAAGGTGGGCCTTTTTGGGGGCGTGGTCAAACGATAACGAGTTGCCCCAATGACCTTCACAAACACCACACATACCTACATATGTGACGCACAAAACAATTTCCGTTCACTAATTACACGAGCAAATAGAACAAAAGCGACCAACAACCAGAAAACCAAATGGCAGAAATTGCATTGTAAATAAATTACCGTTAAATTGGTTCCAATTAAGTAAAATACCATTCGTATATATTCATAAATAATTCAAGCGATTAATTTCATACACCACCTTCTAATTGAAAAATCAAAGTAATGCCATAAAGGTGGCCAGATATTTTGTAGAATTAAAACAAAACTTAAATCAAGGTCACACTGTACAAAAGTGCGCATTTTTGAAGCTTTTACCTATTTTCGACTGTAAAAACTAGTAGGCCCCTAGAATAATGAGAAGAAATCGTTTTATGAGAAGACGCACGAAGAAATCCTGATCTAAAACAATGAATCATAACAAATTGATAAACAAAACAATTACACGTGGGTTTTAGGTTTTCTTGGGCATTTCCACATTCAAAACAATAGATACAATTTTAATGATTAATCAAGAGGAAAACAATCTCTAATTGAATTAAATTAACCATTTTTGGAGTAAATTATAAAGATGAAATGCTAAGAATATCAAAATGAGTATGCCCATATCCCAATATAAATATTGAATCACATATAAATGTTATTTTAATACATAATTACTAATAATGATAAAAGCTTGGTTTATTTGGGGATTTCCATTTCAATTTGCAGATCATTTTTCCACTATGTAATGATTTTCATGGAAGTTGGGAACTTTCCGCAGCTCTAATTTTTTTATACAAAATAAACAAATTAAAACGAGGGGCGGAGAGTGGCTAGAAGAGTAAGTTGTCAGCCTCTATTTATCGTGGCGAGTCATATTAATTATAGTCATCAGTGGGTTGCATTGTGAGCTAGAAATGCGTATTTTCCACTGAGGCGACACAAGAAAAAACAAACTAAGACTGTAAAATAAAAAAATATGTAAATAAAATTTCATGTGAAGTGATCTACAATCCTATATTTTGTTTCAAGGGCTCTTATAATCCCCAAAAGGTCTAAAGTATTTTCAGTGGAGTGACACATACAGTGGGTAAAACGTTTAACTTTCGGTATTATTAATTAAAATAGTTGAGTTTAAACCTACAGTTCAAGAACTAACGCTTTATGAGCGAAAACTGTAGTTGAATATGTAAATGGATAATGGGGGAGAAAAGTGTGAAGAAACGGGGACGAAGAAGAGATCCCGCAGAAGAATGAGAAGTTCGGCTTAAAGCGAACGAAACAACAACAAAAGATCCGCAATTTCCATTCTGATGCTGTTGCTTTTGTTGTTGTTACTTTTTTATTTTTTTTCTGGCATCATGTTGATAACCAAGAAGAGAGAAGGAGAGAAAAAGAGAAGAGCAGAAGAAGCGAGCACAACATAAACCAGTTCAATGCGCTTTGCGGTGGAGCTTTTATTATTTATTTTTGCTTCTTTTCTTTTTCCCTTCTTTTTTGGGTGGCAGCCACATTTACAGCAACTTTACTAAGTGAACAAAAATCAAATCATCAAATGCAGAGAGCAAAAAAAATAAGAGGGGAGAAGAAGAGAGCGAGAGCACTTCATTTAGCACGCACACACTTGTTACATAAATAACGGCGAATCGAGTGAGAAGCAAAACAGACGAAAAAGAAGTCTGGCTGATCTAATAAGAATATGCTGTATTCTCCTCTCTACAACTGCTAATAAGAATACACGGGGCAAAGACAAACAAACAAACAAACATAAATACCTCTTCCAAGTGGTGCAAACTGCTTGCTGCTGCTTTTGTTGCTGTTGTTTTAGTTTGTATTGTCGTTTTTCCAACTTGTTCCACAAAATGCGAAAAATGATTAACGAAAATATAAAATAAATAACGCACGCTCTCTCGCTCTCACTCTACGTGTATGTGTTGGTGCATATACATATATATAAATATATATATATATACTGTACGATGAATTCACGACTTTTTTAAGTTATTTTTTGTGTTGTTGTTGCTGCTGTTGATTTTTTGTAGACGTATATTTTTGCGCTCTTTTTTTGCCTTTTTGCTTTTTACCTTCTTTTGCTTTTTTTCGTTACTTGTTGTTTTTGTCACTTCACAAGCAGTTTTCGCAGTTTCTTTTTGGTACTAGTACTACGACAACTGCCTCTACTTTTGCCTCTTCTCCTCATCATCGCTCATTCTCTTTTGCTTGTTGATTCGCCCACAATTTTGTCGTTTTTTTCTTTCAATTTTTCGTTTCTGCACGCGCACGCACTTGTTGTTGTTGTTTCTTATTTATTTAAAAAAAATGGAATCTCGCCGTAGAGAGAACAGAAAAAAAAACAAGAAAATATTTTTTTTCGAATTTTTGGGGGTTTTATTTGGGGAAAACGCGCGATTTGCGGTTGGACTTTCTGGGAGCGACGCAAAAAATACAAATTTCTATGTTCCGAATTCCACGAGCGAAGCGACGATTAGAGCTGGAACATAATCGATGTTTATTCAATACTATCGATGTAATTTAACATTTTCAGAATCGATTTTAAATCTTCATCGATTAAAGCTACAACGATTTATCAGAGATGAACTTGTACTTATCTTATTTGAATGAAATGTCGTGTTAACCACCTTTTCATTAGCTTTTTTTCGAGAGGAAATCATATGCTTGTTGTTTTTTTTATAATTAAAAATAGTGCTTAATTCCATGTTCATTATTATTTATTATAAACAAGGTCTGGCCATATTTGTATATTTCGCATATATCGATGTTACCGATGATATTGTTACCAATATCTTAAATCTAGTTTGTGTTTTATATTTTCAAAAATTGAATAATTGTAATGCTATTTGGTATTTAAAGTTAGCTGAAAGCTATTGCGCTCCTCTGTTTTTATTACTATCGATATTTTTGAGAAAACATCGACTCTGTATCACCATTAGTTTGTTATTGTTTGGTTTGTTTGGGCCACTTTTGTTTTTTGGTTGGGGGGAAAAAAGCGCAACGTGGACGTGGAATAGAATAGAGCAGTACAGAGCATAGCTCACCAAAGTCCGCACACCTGGTCCCCTTTCCAAAACAAAAAAAAACACCTGTGACCCCTCCCCCGCCCACCGACGCGCCATCAAGTGTTTTTCATTTCAGTTCTTGAGAGGGTTTTTTCAAGATAGCATCTGGTTGATCTCGATCTGATGATCTGGCAAATACGACAGCACATATATAGTATATAGTAGTTGATTATATAGAAATCCATGAGCGAGGCCAAGATGAACGGACGCTCAATACGCATCAATCGGTTGCCGGCCACCATTGTGGCTATCCTGTTGACAATTGTCCTGGTCTACTTCCTTAATTTCCATCAGGAGGAACGACCGGCAATCTATGGCATGCTGAGAAGTGATAATCCTAATCGAGTTAATCTACGCAAAATGCTTATCGCTGCCATACAGGCGGCTCAACGTGGTGGCCTCGAGGTCCTGGATGTGGCTAGAAGTCGCCAGTTGAAGGAGCGGAGCAAGGGAAAGACGGACGAGGGCGTCAATGATCCGTTTACGGACGCTGATGGGCGATCACATTGTGTAATGAAGCTGGGCCTCCAGCGGATCTTCCCGCGCGTACAAATCTTCTCCGAGGAGGACAAGGAGCATTGCAAACAGGCTCACAGCTACGATCTGGATCCTACGGTGCTCCATGAAACCGCACAGATTCCGGATGTTACAGTGAATGCCCAGGATGTTACCGTTTGGGTGGATCCTCTAGATGCCACCAAGGAATATACCGGTAAGCACTTTACAAAATTTCCATATAAAACCTTTAGTTAAGTTCAAGATACAACTTACAAGTACAACTTACTAATTGTCCTTTTTCAAATATGCAGAGGAACTGTACGAGTACGTGACCACCATGGTGTGCGTGGCGGTAGCCGGAAGACCCATTATCGGAGTAATCCACAGTCCGTTCAATGGCCAAACTGCCTGGGCGTGGGTGGGCCATTCGATGTCGGAATATTTGGCAAGTTTGCATCCGGATCATTCGCCGAATAACCAGGTGCCCATCATAACAGTGTCGCGATCGCACACGGCAGGAGCTAAGGATCTGGCCAGGGGTATATTTGGCGAGGATGTTAGCCTACTGACGGCAGCGGGAGCTGGCTACAAGGTGCTACAAGTGGTGGCGAATAATGCCACTGCTTATCTGCACACCTCCAAGATCAAGAAGTGGGACATTTGTGCCGGCGATGCCATTTTACACGCTTTGGGCGGCACAATGACCACGCTGAATGACCAGTTGATTAATTACGGTCCAGATGAGTCGCCGGTCAATACGGATGGTTTGCTGGCCACTTTGGAAAGGCATGACGAGTACATGGACAAGTTATCCAAATACCGAGAGGCGCACAATGGCAAGCTGGCGTAGGGGTTAGCCAGTTCTTAGACCCTTAGCTCCCTTTACCCCACTTTCAGATGAATCCCCCCTCACTGAGCGTTTAGGCCGCATTCAAAAATAGCTTTAAGTTCTAAAGAGGAAAACCAGTTTTTTAGTAATCTCAATATTTGTGCGTGTGTGTGCTTCTTTTTTTTTTTGCATAATTACGTTGGTTGTGTAGCGGCGCGGCGGGGTCATGAACCCGGACCAAACCAAACCGCCCAGTTGGCTCAAAATAAACTAATTTTAAATTGTACGCTCTTTCTGCCTACTTTTAATGGGTTTTAAATGTTTGAAAGGCCTAACATGCCGGAGTTAATGTTTTAAATGTGCTTTATTTAGCAAATTATATCTCATAAACTTATAATTATTGATTAAGTTTTACGTAGGCAGCTGTTCAATTATTTATCACAACCAAGAATAAGTTTATTGTTAACATTTTTGCAATGAAATTAATATTTCTTTATTTCAATTTGATGTAAATAGGTTTTCAAAGTTTAAAATACGCAAAACTTTTTAAGATCAAGATCGTTGTGATGAAACATAGAATTAAAATAAAATTATACATGATTTCGATTTGCTTTTTTCCATAATTGGTTTTTTAAAAAACAAACTAAACAAATGCTAAATTTGCGTTTTATTTAAATGTGATAACAGCTTTTTTTAAATAGCAGAGCTTTCCACCCTATTTAACCCTTGACCGAACACATTTAGTCTAGTCGGTTTAGTCGGGTGACGAACCATCGATACCACGATTAAGCAAAACAATCGATAATGTTGAACTATCACACGCACATCAATCGGCCACCGCCATTACAATAGAACCTTTGAAACGTAGGGTAACACTTTTTTGTATAAACTAAAAAAAGCGCTGTGTGTATTGTTGTTGTTTATTATGCATTTGTTTAAACATAAAATTGTTAATTAAATGTGCGCTACATGCGCCCGGCATGTAATCAATCGAAACGATCAAAATGGGCGGCCACACGAACGAGGGGCGTGGAGATCGCCTTCCTTCTCCACCGCTGCCCCACCTCCTGCTGCTGCTGTTGTTGTTGCTCTTCCCGAATCTGACGACGACTGCGAATGCGACGTCGACAGCGGCAGAGGGGGGTCAGGTGCAGTTGAATCCGGAAAAGGGACAGTCCCAAAATCCAGAATCATCCATATTCACCGGATCGGGAACCTCGTCATCATGCCCACGCAAATGCAACTGCCGCAATATAGCGGAAAACATACACAGCCTAAAAGTTCGCTGCGATGGGCAGCAAATCACCAACTGGCGGGAATTGGATTTCGGAGAGGATGCGACCAGCATAGTCAGCATGTAAGTGATACAATAAGCACCTCCTATTGATTTATCATATCTTAATTTTTCGTATAGCAATGCCAGCAAGAATTCTATTGCTTTGATTACCACCGAGGATTTTAGGAACTTTACGGAACTCAAGCGTTTGGATCTGTCTTTCAATCTACTTACCGAGCTGGATAAAGATACATTCGGCAATAGTCTGATTCATTTAGACAAGCTGAAGCTGGCCGGGAATGCCATTAGCCATATCTATGAAGGCACCTTCGACCAAATGCCCAAGCTAAAACTACTGTAAGTAGATTTGTAACGTGTTTTTATTGTGTATAATGCATATTTATTCTTTTTTTTACGTTCGTATTGCTATTCTACTATTAACATGTTACCTATTTCACGTAACCATCAACAGAGATCTGTCTGGAAATCCCTTGGCCTGTGACTGTGGTTTAATATGGTTGATTGCCTGGTCAAGCAGCCGAGAAGTACGCCTCCAACCGCCTCCGAAATGTGATTCCCCCGGAAACTTTCGTGGCATGCCGTTAAAAAAACTGCGAGTGGGAAAGGATTTTCATTGCGAGACACTACTGCAACCACTGCTTGAACTGATACCCAGCCAGAATCAGGTGGCTTTTGAGGGCGATGAACTGCAACTAAAGTGCTATGCACCACGGGTGGCCATTGGAGTTCCCAGGGAAAGCGAGGATCTGCCCACAAAGGCGTACGTGTTCTGGGGATGGTCAGAGAAGATACGAGCGAAAAACTCCACCGAGGATATTATTTACCAGGATCCCACCAAAGTTTTCGGGGATGTGAACCTGGAGACGGGCCATTCCACGGACTCTGGCATCCTTCAATCTATTCTTCGTATTGCCAGCCTCACACAAAATCATACAGGAATGTGGGATTGTACGTTGCGCAGCCAGCAGGCGAATCTTTCGCAGGCTATCGTTCTCCATGTAGTAGCCAAAGGAACGCTATACTGTGAAGCTCGCGTGGTGCACACAAACAAAGGCACCTACCACTGGCCCAGGACGATGCGAGGCGAGACAGTGCTGCAAGAGTGCGTGGAGGAGCCCAGCGATGCTACCCAAGCACGTCGAGCCTCGCACGAGTGCGGACCGTCGGGTGAATGGCTTAATTTGGATACGGAAAGTTGTGTTTATGTTAGTGAGACTACACGCATCCTAGAGCAGTTTGCCAAGGTGAATCTAACCTTGACGAAAGGTCAAAACGCATTGGAGATTGCTCGCCGTTTGCACAACTTTACGCAGGCGCAGACTCAATTGAATCGGATACGAGATCCAATGGACCTGGAGTACATAGCACGAACTTTGGTCAAGTACTTGGATCAGTTGGAGCAACCACAGCAGCAGCAGGAGATCAGTCATCTTTTAATGGATATAGTTTCGCAGCTGCTTAACCTTCCTGCTCATCTCTTCCGAGCTGCACAATCGGAGCAAGGAACTGGACAGCGGCTGCTCCATGTAGTGGAATCATCGGCAATGCGATTGGCCTTGGCCAGCACCCAAGCAGAACCGCTGCCTGCCGAGATGATACCTTGGCGGGGATCGCTAGCCCAGCAGCGCAACCTTTTCGTGGAGTTCTTCAACATAAGCTTAGATGCCTTTGTCAGCTTATCCTGCGTTTGGCTAGAGCAGAGTCCGCGTGGATTTCAGTGTAATAGTGCCAACGATACGATACCTATGTACGAGCATGGAGATATCGATGCTGCCATTCAGCTGCCCTACAGCGTGATTGGAAACATTTCGACAAGCTCCCCAACTGTCTCGCCAATTCGTAGTCTCCGTTTGATGATCTCGCTGCACAGAAATGGAAAACTGCTGCCCAATTTGAGAGGAAGCTACAATGAATCCCTGTCTTCCGCCATCATAGGTGTACTGGCATATAGCAGCGAAGGTGAAGCCGTACAGTTTCGAGCTGAAAACGAGCTAGATCCGGAAGAGGACGTGTACCAGCAAAGAGTGACTGTGATGTTAAGGGCTCACCCGTATCACAATCCACTGAGTGCGCCGCAGCCTGCCTGGTGGGATGCGGACGAGCAGCGCTGGGAGACCAGCGTTTGCCAGCAGCACTATCAGCATCGCACTTTGGTCATGTTCAGTTGCAGTCGCACAGGATATTATGGGTTGCTTCAGAGGAGTATGTATCTGAACGATTTTCGCAGTGAGGAATCGGGCGCCCGATTTCGGCATCCACCGGCTGCTGTCTACGCTGGATGTGGCCTACTCTTTGCCTGCTGTGCCTTTAACGCAGTGACTTTTGCTGTTTTCGGCAGAGCTGTTCGGATCAACAGGGTACAGCGGCATGCTCTGGTTAACACCTGGTTGGCACTGGGTGCACTGGCTCTTGCTTTCTCCCTGGGAATCTATCAAACCGCCAGCCAACCGCAATGCCGTCTACTGGGATTGTTGATGCACTATCTCGGCTTGTGCGTTTTGCTTTGGGTTTGTGTGAGTCTCAGTAGCATGTACAAACGGCTGACCAAGACGACGACATCGGGACAAGGACAATGCCAGGGCCAGGATATGGATCCGCAGAGGGAACGAGAACGCAAACCCATACTGGGCATTTATCTGGTTGGCTGGGGCATAGCCCTCCTCATCTGTGGCATCAGCAGTGCGGTAAATCTGGCGGAATATGCCTCTTACGACTTTTGTTTCCTGCACAGTGCCACTACTTTAAATGCTCTGCTTGTGCCAGCCGTTATTCTCGTAATCTTCTGTGGTATTTTGGCTCTGTGCATCTATTATCAACTGAGTCAGCAAGCGGTAAATGTGCTCCAACTACAAATGCAACAGCAGCAGCATCGTCAGTATTCGGATAACAACACACAGGCAACGGAGCACATCGATCTGGATTGGTTGGATGCGAATGGCAGTGCCACCACAGCTGCAATTGGAGGAGGTTCTGGCAATCACGGTGGTCGCAAGGATCAGGATCACATGCAGGAGCAATACAGTACGCTAAGTAATCCTCTAAGCAGCATCGTGGACGATTTTGAGCGCTCGAATCTTTCCCATTTGCGTGGACACTTCATTTTCCTAGTTTTGTACGCTGGCGCATGGCTATCCGCCGCTGCTTATGTAAATGGTGGGCAAGAACTGTATGTTATATCCTTTGCCGGCTGCTGTTCATGTCTTGGCATTTTCCTGCTGATTTTCTACAACCTGAGCCGAAACGATGCCCGTCAGGCTTGGTCGCAAGGCAGGGATGGACGCAATAGACCTGCAAAACTGGTGACCTACAATAATGGCAGCCAGGCGCGGGGTGCACATCAATCGGGAATGATGCCTGGACCCGGAACGGCCATGATCAGCAACTCCATTGTAGCCTATAAGGCAAATCCTGGACCTGGCAGCTTGTACGAGGCAAACAACTCGGCGGGATCACGTTCGAATAGCCAGTGTTCGAGGAGCATGCGCAGCCAGACTAGAAGTCAAACGAGGAGCCAGCAGGAGCAGCTTCTACAGGCCAACGGAGCAGGTGGCGTTACTATAATTAACAACACCAGCGGCCAACAGGGAGCAGGCGCTGGAGCAGCAGCTGGCGGAGTGTCTGGCTCTGGAGGAGGAGCAGTACCACCGCACAGTCTAAATGCTCTGCTTCATGGTTCCAGTCACGACCTTATACCCTCTGCGGAGATCTTCTACAATCCCAATCAGATCAACGTAGCCCGTAAGTTCTTCAAGAAACAGAAGCGCTTGGCGAAGCGTAACAATTTCGAGCTTCAACGCCAGACGATGCCGCAGATGCAGCTCCAGATGCAGATGCAAATGCAGCTCCACAGCCAGCACAGTTTGAGCGATGCCAGTTCGGAGCAGCTGTACAGTAGGCATCACAACGCCATGACCCTACTGGCGGGCGGTAGCAAGATAAATAACACCAATCTGCATTACAAGAACCAGGGCTCGCCCATGGCAGGAGCTCCCAAGGAACACGGAATGGGTATGAGTTCTGGTGGCGATTCCATGCAGTTTAAACGCTTTGTGCCCGCTAGCGCCTCATCGGCGTCTAAGATCATGCAAGCCAATATTTACACAAACATCCCGGAGACATTGACTCCCCAGCATGAGGTAATCAAACTGAGAGCCAATGGACGTACTAGAACACCTTCCCTTTTGGATGAAACGCTGCATGAGCAGGATGACGATGAAGAAGAAGAAGAGGAGCATGCTCAGGCGCCGCCAACGGTCGAAGAGCAAGAGCCTGAGCTAGAGGAGGAAGATGCCAGTTCTTTGGACGAACATGCTCCGTTGTATGCCAATACTTTGCCACCAGCTAGCGGGATGAACAGTCTATTCCGAAACCGAGGACCATCCCATCAACCCATCAGTTCCACGCCTGTCAAGCAACCCAGTTTGGAGGCCATGAATAGTTTGGGCCTGCCGGAAATCAGCCTAGAGGAACCCCTTCTCCAGAAGCACGAGATATATGTATCCAATTCGCTGCAGGTTACCACCAGCAACAGTATCCAGCTGGACGATGACTTTCCCAGTGTCCTAATCCGCTTCAGTCAACAGCAGCAGTCCAAATCGCTGAACAATATAAGTGAAATGCTAGCTGGCAGTGGTGGCGTAAACTCAACTGGTTTGGATAACCTAGGCGAACAGGAAGAATCCAGCCAGCTGTCTGTTAACGAGGCCAGCACACTCGAGGAACAGCAAATGCGCCAGGTGTACTCCTGCTCCAGCAGCAATCTCAGCCAGCTAAAGGCACATCTTCCGACGTCGTCGGTGGATGCGGAGGACGATGGTCGCCTGCTATCCGGCAGTCCAACGAATGAGAGCGATCTAAACTACCAGAACTCGGAGATCAGCATCCGAAGTCATGGACTATATGCTCCACAGGCGGATAACGATCTGAATTTAACACTAACCGATGATTTCCGCTGCTATCAATCCTCAAATGCCAGCGATGCGGATGTGGATGTGTTGAATGAGTTCGACGATGAGTTTGTGGCCGCCACGGGAGGTGAAAGGGTGGCAGGAGATCCTGAACAGGATCATCATCACGATCACGACCAAGACACTTCCATCGATGAGCTGTACGAGGCCATTAAATGCCGCAGTCCTATGAGGAGCAAGCAGGAGGTCGTCGAGCGTTTCGAAAGAGAAAGAGAGCGAGAACGTGAGAAAGAGATGGAAGCAAAGCCGCTTAGCAATTCCCACAACGAAAATCTCAATGAGACGATAGAGGATGATAGCAGCCAGAGCAGCGTGATCTCGTACATCGATCCCAGGGCAGCCAACGAGCCACGCCCCTTTCCCAGCTAGCTCAACCCACTCAGCCCACCCCTAGTTAGATGTATATAGAATATATACAAAATGTATAACACACCCACAAACTCCAACCGCCTCCGCGCTTGGCCGGCAAACAAAAAGTTCACGTGCCAATGCCAAAGTATTCCTGTATCAAGTTTTGTACCCAACCCACTGACACTCTTCGATATATATTTATATGTATTATATATATATCTGGAGTGCTAATATCTTAAGTTCATCCACTCAAAATCCAGCTAACTGAACTTGTAATTATAGTAAGTCGAACCCTATTTATTATGACTAGTATTACTCCACTAAACTCACCCAGTTTCACATTCACCGGAGAAAATTTCATCCAAACAGAGTTCATTAGCTGGTCACTAAATCGCTAGATCGTTTAACATTTCATCACAATGATTAGGTATCACCACAACCCCATCCCAAAGTCCTATACACATTAAATAAGTTTTAAATTTTGGTAAAGCAAAATGCATTTAAATGTAGGCTAAGTTTATATTTAGATATAAATAAATCAAATGTTCACTTATAAAAACTGTCCTTAATGGATATTTGGAAGTTAAAGAATTAATCTTTCCCCATAACAAACTCATGAACTTTAAAGTTTATAAAGAGATTACAAATGTTGCATTTATTTCGAGGACAGACACTGAACACATTCAACAAACTACTTGTAAAGTAGATACAATTTATAATAGCAATTTTATCATAATACATGATATCCGTTCAACATCGTCATGGAGTGTGATTGAGGAATGCCGATCATCTTGATGAGGATGACGCTACTTTCCTTCTCTACTTAAATTTGTAACTTGTAAAGTAGCAACGAGTTGGAAAGAAGTATCACCTCGATAATCAGTTTGATTAGCGTTAAAGGTTTAATCTTAAATTTTAACAATAACAAGAGATGTGTATAAACTATAATAAGATAATACGATATTGCTGATGCCTGGACAGAGCAGGCAATATTGTGCATGTTTCTCATGGCAATGCGTCTCACTCCGGTTAGGTGATCCTCTCCGCGCCCAGAGATTCACAAGCTCCTTATAGATTTCCAGCGTCGTAGCAACAAACACGACGAGGTCAGTCCACTGGAATATTGGCTAAATTCGCTAATATTTATGTTGCGTGTTGGAATGTCAATTTTCTCTTTTAAAGTCTGAAAGTCGTATGATAGATAGAATCAATTAGCACGGGGCTTAATTAAAACTGGGTGACGAATGTTACTGACCTTGTAGGCTTCTGGAATCTCCGTTGGGGATCTGTGTACAATCGTTCCGTTTATGTACAGCATATTGGCAGCACTCTCCTCGGGCAAAGTCAACTTCTGGTAGGTAAAGCTGGCCTCCCGTTCCATCCGCTTCACAATCTCCTGGCATGTGGGGCTGGTGCTTACGCTCAGCACATCCGGTCCAGCCATTGTCACATAGTACTTCAGCCTCTTGGAACCATTCACCTGGTTGATATAGTTATATGGATAACGACAGTGAACTTTAAAGACAATCTATTAGTAATACCCGAATCGGCGTCACAGGATACTCGGGATAGGCCATGGCCACCGCACGGGCTCCCCCCTCGTTGGTAAAATCAGAGATTCCAATGAAGAACTCGCGTCCTAAAATTAGAGTGTCGATAAAATTAAGCAGTCAATGGGGAAAATAATACATACCTGTAAAAAGCACATCGCCGCCATCAAGTAACGCTTGCGGATCTTCAATCTCAATGACCGGAATGTCCAGTTCTTTTTTGAGGATAATGGCCATGCTAACAGCTTCGCGTTTTCGTTTGGCATGCTCCGATCTTCCAATCAGAGCCACTCCATTACAAATTACGGCACTGTTCTCTACGAAGACGCCTTCGGGCAGCTGGTCATCCGGCGGCAGTTCGATAACATCCAGGCCAATGGTTCTCAGGAGGGTGCAGTACTGCTCGTGCTGCTGCTTTGCCAGCTGCACGTCAAACTCTCCGTTCTCAAGCAGGGCATCCGAGATTCTACAATGGATTTAAAGCGTTTAACAATGGTTTAATTAATTGGAGGGGAAGTACCAGAGCGTCTGAGTGGGTAAGCGAAATTATAATAATAATAATAATAATAAGCACATTTGGTATATTATTCCTATTTATAAGATTATTAAACACTAATTGAAGCCATGTGCAAAGTTCTATTATGTTGATTTGATTTTGCTGTTCCTAATTACAAAGGCGCCTAAGTCCTAAATTCTTAATCATTGATTATTCAGATCAGGATAGTATAAATAGGTATAGTATTATTGATTTACATGTACAAAGCTCTCATATAATTTTGATATTTAAATGACTTCCCTTTTACTTGATAAACATTTAAAATTGTAATCGTTAATCTGTTTTTTTGGTGAAGTTTTCTTTAAGTAATAATATACTCAATATTCTATAATTTATAATTTGAACAATTAAAATTAATATCTATTAAGGGAATACAAAACATCTCAGTTAATTAATACATATACACAATTTGAAAGTTCGATTCTAGATCACCTTAAATATTCCGTTAATACATAATAGGGATATAACAAAATACTGAATAATGTGATATATCTATCCTACATCCTAGATTCAGGTTCCTGGCATTTCGTATATCGGGAGGTGTGGCCCCACCCACTGGAATGTCTACCCACGAACAATTGGTTGGGTGACCTAATTTCGCGCCATTGGGGCACTCCCTCCTCCGGATCCCCTTTTCGCCGATTTTCGCAGGATCTGGGGTCCACTCACCTGGCCACAATCGCATGTGTGTATTTGGGCGACATGGTCGACGGATTGGCCACTGGGTGCTCTTCCTTGGCGACGGAATGCAGATACGGATGCGAAGATGCGGATTCGGATTGGATTGTTCAGTTGGGCATAGAGTGACCTCGTCACGAATGCCAATAAATACTGTTATTTTTCATGGAATGGTCACTCTGCAACTCACTGGATTGTTTTTGAATACCTTATTAACTAAAAATTTCAGATATAAAAATAATGTCTTTTATAATATAATGATAATAATAATCCTTTCAGGATTTTTTAGAATACTTTTCTTTAAAAATGTCTACTTAAAAATGTGTTTCATATTAAATGCTAAAAATACTTTCCATTCTTGTTGATTTGTAACATAAAAATAGGCCGTTGAAGACACAAAAAAAATATTTAATTTAGTAAAATTATTTCATATTTTCGATGATTGTACTTAAAAGTATAAAATCTTTGAAGTAGTTTTACGTCAAACCATATACGTAAATTGTGCAATTGTTAAAAACGTGACTCATCGTGAAAGATAACGACCTAGAATGTGACCTTAAAAATAACCGCTCTAGCGTTATCGATAACACTGTGATAACGATAGTTAATGCATACACATCGCCAATTTGGGTATTTTCTCGCATGTAAATTGCAAATAGTGTGTCCATTTTCCGCATTTTCCCGCGCGCCCAAAACTTACACCGCCGTAAAATTCATGCGCCCATTTGTGAAAGAGCAGTAAGCATGGACGAAGGTAAGTGGATAAGGTGGATCTAATCCGCAAAAGCGTTTTATTGATGGCGGCAATTCGTGCAGATTATTCGGCGTCATCTTCGGCCGCCGGTGGCAAGAAGGCCGGCGTGGGCAAGCAGCACAACACGCTACCGTTTTGGGGCAACGAGACCTCAATGAACCTGAATCCTCTGATCCTGGCCAACATTCAGAGCTCCAGCTACTTCAAAGGTGCGTCTATTCATCTCTCCAGGCTGCTGCCGACCCCTAGCTTATCCCTCCTTTTTTTTTCTCGACAGTCCACTTGTTTAAGCTGAAAACCTACCATGAAGTGGTCGACGAGATCTACTACCAGGTGAAGCACATGGAACCCTGGGAGCGCGGATCCCGCAAAACGTCCGGACAAACGGGCATGTGCGGCGGTGTGAGTGGTTTATGAAATGTAGCGCTAATCGTTGGCGATGCTTTGAGGAAAACCCATGAATATATGTACTAATAGTTAATCATTTTTAGGTGCGCGGCGTTGGCGCCGGCGGCATCGTGTCCACGGCATACTGCCTACTTTACAAGCTATACACGCTACGGCTGACCCGGAAGCAGATCAATGGACTGCTCAACCACACAGACTCGGCCTACATCCGGGCACTAGGTAGGTGTTGGTAAGTCGCATGAGTTCAGCCGTCACATATGCCGTCGCTTGCTCCTGCTCCCTCAGCACACCAGACCAAAGCAAACCACACATCACCCCAAAATAATAAAAACAACCAGGGTGGGTCGATTTGGACGGTTGCAAACTATAATAGAAAGCCAGCCGTAAGCCATTTGAATCGGCGTGGTGGAAGGTATACTATGGATTGAAGAACAAGCACGTTTCTTTTCCAATTTCAAGTTGTGCCTTGTGCGAGAAGAGGACCTAGCATCTTCTTACATCCGTCTGTTAAGGTAAACCTTAATACTACTTGTAAAGTGAAAATAACTAAATTTCTATGATGCATTCAGATACCTTTCATATTTACTCAGCTTTTTCCCAAACAATTCATAAAGCATGCAGCAATTTAAGAAATTTATGTATTCTATCACATTTTACATAAAAACTAATGGAGAACTTCCTTTTCTTATCTGTGACATTATGTATTTAAATTTGTATACAGTCAAGTTATGTTTTTTGTACACAAAATCTATTATAGAGCTTAAAAGCATGCATATAATTCGAATTTAAATTTTCAAATTTTGCTAAAAGAATTGAGTTCTTGTTTTGTCAGAATTGCTTTCCTTCTAGTAATGCCCTTTGCCTGAGTTTCACGAACTCTCCGTCAAACAAATCGAGCCACCCTACCATGAAACACACTTCCTCCTTTGGCCAACCACAAATTCGATTCTATAAAACGGTTCTAACCCATTTATTCATTGCCCAGGCTTTATGTACTTGCGATACACTCAGCCGCCAAGTGATTTATACGACTGGTATGAGGACTACCTGCAGGACGAGGAGGAGATCGACGTGAAGGCGGGAGGCGGCCAGGTGAGTCAACTGTATGAGCCACCAATCACACGTACCCCAAAAGATTTTAAAGGAAGCACGGCACTAACTAAGGCATTTTCAGGTCCTAACCATCGGACAAATGGTATACCAGTTTATGACCAAGTTGGACTGGTTCTCAACTCTCTTCCCGCGCATTCCTGTGCCGATTCAGAAGCAGATTGAGAAAAAGATCGAGCAATATTGCAGGGAGCAGGGTCTGACTGTCAATCAGTTAAGCTCGGGCCGATCGGCGACGGGGCAGGGCGCTGGTGGAGGCTCAGGAGCCGTTGGGCAGGATGCTGACTACACGGAGTACCAAGATGGAAATGCAGGCTTGGATCGTGGAGGCGGTGGTGGTCGTGGCGGTGGACATGCTATGACTGGCTCCGGTTCCAGGCCCAACGCCTACCCACCGCCAATTAACTACCGCAACGATCATGATGATCGTGATTACTATGCCGCCGGCTCGGGTTCTTCTTATGGCCGTGGTCGCGGCGGCTACGACGATTACCCACCGGCGCCGCTGCCGCCACAGATGCCTTACGGTTCAAGTGGAGAGCGGGAAAGGGAACGAGATCGTGAACGAAATAAGGAGAAGGACTACGACCGGCACCGCAGCAAGCATAAGAAGAAGCATAAGCACAGACAAAACTCGCGTAGCCGCAGCAGAAGTCGCAGTCGGAGTCGCCACCGCTCCGAGCGGCATGAACGCAAGCGTGATGGCGGAGGTGGCTACGAGCGGAGCAGCAAGAGCCGGCACAACGAACACTATGAAGAGCGAGAACGACGTCATCGGTGAACACCGATAAAACCCACCAAAACAAATCCTCGCCTTTTTAAGTTGTTGCTAACTTAATTTGTTTTTATCATAACACTAAACTTTTTTAATTTTTCAATCCCTATCTACTCTTTGGAAGCCGTAGTACGTTGCGCTTCTTACTCAGGTTAAACACTTCCCGAAATCCCTAAATATCCCTCAACTAACACTTAAACTAGACACAATCACACTCAGACACAGCAGCAAGGCTATATTTTGTAATTTGTGACTACAATTATGCTGATATAATAGTTTCCAAGTTGTGTTTATGCAAATAAAGTCAAAAATAATTTGTTTAAACTGGTTAATTTTTGAGTGTTCATTTAAGTTTGGTCTATATCCTCGAATTATAATTTTCCCGTTATTTGTAATATATATATTGCCTACTTTGCGGCTGCCTTTAAGAATACCTTTTAAGTGATACTCTATCAATATAACATTGAGTTCTAAACAATACTGTTTAGATATCAAGTATGTTTGTTTTTGAACCAAATAATCTTCCCTATTTTGTGCAGTGGTTAGACATGATTTTGAACCTGTCTATCTGAGAGCTTTTCGTTTTGAGTATAATTGCCAGTGATTTTGAACATTTCCTTAATGTTATTGTCCTGGGGACGGTAAAAGGAAACTAAAAACTGGAACGTGGACTGATTGAATTCCTGCTCTAGAAGGAGAATTAAGGGTGAGTACAATTCTAATCTTTTATATTTTAAGATCTTGTTATAAGTAGTACAGTCCAAAAGATATATTCGTTAAAGAGTTAGTGTACGAGTATCAATCTTGCACCAAAGTTAATTCAAGAAAAAGGCAGCTCAATCGGCGAAGTATTTTTTTGAGCTTTGAAGCGAACGCTGCTGAATTATAATCGCCAGTGCTGCGCAGATTATTGGCAGCTCGGATCGGTCAGGTGCGACAGCTGAGACAGGTGAGGCGGCCAGGCCTCCTGGCACCGGTCGGAGTCGCCGAATTTCGAATTTCAGTTAGCGTGCAACGCCTGCGCCGAGTTGTTGCCTCTCGCGCCGACCGTTACAAAAAACCAAAACCAACAAAAAATATAGCGCCGGGCCGGGCGAATGAACAGTCGAAAAGCGGCGAGTCAAATGTAATTAGCATGTGCCAGCACCATTAACAGAGCCACTTAAGCCACCAAATCCGAACCATAATACAATTCAAGCCTCTGCCAGCCAGCCAGCCAGCCAGCCAGCACACAGACATGCTCATAGGCACTACGATATCATATCAATGTCAGGCCAAAAAGAGAACAACAAAAACAAGAGCCAAACCGGAGTGGATAGAGCGAACAACAGTAAACGGCACACAATTCACGCGTGTGCGAATGCGCGCGTCAAATGGCCCGTTTTGACCATTTTGGGAAAACGGGGTATTGCGTGTGTATGTGTGTCTGCGTGTAATTGTGTGTAAGTGCTGTGCCCAAGTATGTTTATGTGTGCGTGTGTGTGCTTATGGCCATAAAACATGGATAGTGCCCGAAAGCAAATGTGTAAAGTTTATGGCTGGGCCAGCACCTTTTCAACGCTCTCTGCTCTTCTCTCTCTTCATTTCGGCCTGTAAGCTCGGCCTATAACAGAGCTGTCAGATTATAGGTGAAAACTAGCGACTTTTAGCGGGAATCCAGTTCAAAATAAACAATATATAGTATTCTAAGGAGTATGCTAAAGGATGTTGCCTATATAAAAGGTTATCTATACTGAAACCAGATTAGTCGAATAGTAAAAGTTTTCTTAGTTTCAGTTTTTCACCTAAAATAATAAATTTCGTATGTAAATTTATGTTCATATTTCTTAGTATTTACGAGCTTATTTAGGTTTTTCATCCTAAAGCCTGAGCTTGCATTTAAAAATATACGTTGCCTTTGTGAAATTAAAAATGTCATTTGGCGGACGTGTCGTATGAGTAATATTTAACTACTTTTTAGCGTTATTCCAGGCGATGTTTTTGCTTCAAATCACTTTATTGCGCAACTGTTTAAGATAATGGGAGTTTGATTTTCGTAGTTTATTGAATGTTTTTCATTTGAAAAACATATTACTCATACGCATTGTGGTCTGTGTGTAATGTGCTAAACGTCACAGGGCGTATGAGTAATAATATTTTTTTTTTTAATAATTTTGTATTAGGTTTTGATTTGTAATTAACGGATCATTTATTGCAAGATGTATGTTAGTTATTAAAGACTAAGAACCAATTGCATTTATCTGGAAAAAAGCTGACCTGGTAGCACTGGTCTTTAAGAGGTTTTGAGAGCTTTCCAAGCTTCGGAATCGCGATTTCGGTCAGTGGGGCAAAATGATCGGGCGTTATGGTGGGGAATTCGGAGAGCAGGCGAGAGTGCTAGAATGCAACTGGTCATTATCCTTCACTATTTTTATTTGCGCTCACCTTTTTTTTTTTGTTTTTTTTTGTTTTATTTTTGTTGCTACTTGCGTCTTTCGTCAAATGCATTGACGTAATTGCCCGATCGCAAAACTTAACCGTATATCGATCTCGATCGCAGGTGTGTAAACCTAAAGTGGTTTTGATTTCACAACCGCAGAAGAGCTGAGGGGGGTGTCTTACTTTAAGCTATTACCACGTCATTCCGCCGGTGCCTATCAGCGTCAGCTAACTAGCGTCCGTGCGTCTTGTCAGTCAACAAAAACATATATACACATATATATATAGAAAAAATATATGAAAAAGACCGAGAAATAACAACGCACACAAAGCCAGAAGAACAAAAAAAAAACGACAGAAAATCACATAAAACAATAAAAAAAATTGCATTTTTTAATTGCCCCTTGTTATTTATACCGTATGCGAGGAACGGCCAAAGGGGAGCTGTGGATTCGTTGGGGGGTGCGGTAAGGAGTTGAGTAATCACCGCGCCCTTGTCTACTTGGTAATCAACCCCTTACCCAGCACCTCCTCCGCCACCCAATTCGTTCTCTCTCCGTCTGCCATCTCGCCGTTTCTGTCTGAGCTGTTGCGTCTGCGTTGTTCGTTGACTACTGACGTCATAGCCCCTGGCGTTTTGGACAAAGTACGATGCCGCACCGTGGGTCAGCAATCATTATCATTATAAACATTATACAGCCATCATATCAACATCATCATCATCATCAACATGGCACCGTGGAGTGGGTGGGGATTTCGCAACAAGTGAATCACGTGCTTATCGTAGAGATTCCGGGCATACCAAAATCCGGCAAGATAATACCAATTGGCCTCTTGTCAATGAACCTGCGTTGGGAAAGTTTTTTTTTTTATATATCTTTCATATAAGGAACACTTTAAAGACTGTCGCGACTTACAATTTTATCGCTTACTTATATAACGTTTACCTATATATAGTATTTATGGCAACCTATATAACAATTTTGCAATTTCCAACGGAATTTCTGCAACTACAAACAGTTTTGACGTAGGTCGTTGGTTTGCGGTTGAGCTTAAAGTACTGACATATTTCGTAAGTTATATACGCCAATGATTTTATTGTGTTGGATTATTCTCGGTTTTATTTTCGAGGAATTTAATCAGTTTCTTTCTATTTTTATATTTATAATGGTATTCACGAGAAAACTTCAAATAAAACAATATTATTACTTGCGTCATTAGAGTTTGATAGTTAACGATAAAAAACCAAATAGGGAACTTATTTATAAAGATGAGTTTTCTAATTATATAAACAAGATATTGTTGTGTCTTGAACAGAATTTATGTACATGTATTAAATAGATAGTTTATCGTTGTACGACTACAGGACATACTCATTATAGAAAGTCTGGGGAGAACTATACTTTACTAGACTTTAATACCACTCACTTTGGATTGGCTATAGACTAAGGAAGATAGGCAATAAATTAACAGTTTTGCCATAAATATAAGAACGTTTAAGGGAAAAACGAAATGGAAATTTCAACTTCTAATAGATAAACAACTAAATACTCATCCCAATTAGTAAAGTTACTTGCGTATGTGGGTAATCCCCATTAAAGTTGCTGTCGTAAAATGAATTTTAGTTTAAATCGTTTTCTCGGAAAGTACATATATATATATATTTTTTGACTCAACGTACGATAAATCACCGTTTCGTCCCATTGTGCGTCAGTGTCGGTGTTTGCGTGCCAGTGTGCTTGTAGTGGTGCTGTTGTGCTTTATTGCATTGAGTCGCATCGCCTGTCTGTCTGTCTGTCTGTCACTGTGTGTGCTGGTATGCGTGCGTGCGTCTGCTACTGGTGTGTGTGTGTGAGTGTGTCGTATCTGTGCATCTGTGTGCTCTGTGCTCAAATGCAATTTACAATTACGCGCGGCAATTGGAGCAGTTACCGGTGTGTGCGTGTGTACGTGCGGGATCATTGCACATTGCGTCAACGTTTCAAGATCACAATTACAATTACCCCGCAGCAGTAGCACCAACCTCTGAATTACGAGAACAGTGGCAAAAAGCAACCAAAAAAAAGAAGAAAAAAAAAATATATATATATATATATATATATAATATATATAGAAGAAAACTATCAACAATAATAAGCCCGCCCGCAACAGCTGCTCTCCGTCTTTCTTCCTCTCCACACCACTCTACTCCTCTACTCAACAATTCTTCTCTACAATTCTTCGAGCCCCCCTCTTTCTACCCCACCTCTCTCTCTTCTCTTCTCGATTCTTCGCCTCCACCACCGCCCCTCTGAAAACGGGCAGAGCTGCAGAGCCACAGAAAGCGATTTCAGTTCGGCGACGGCAGCGCACAGGTGCCATTCGGAAAGTGCGGACGTAGAATGTTTGCCGGGGTTTCCATAGTCATTTTCACCTCTAATTCCGGTGGCAATTGTCTTGACGCAAGCGTTAATAACGAGTTTATCCGTGATCTTGGCTTTACAACGGTTTCGAACACAAATTCCCCATTCCTTTAACTACCTACTTAGCTCTATCTTTTCCCTTGTCACGCTTTCCTATTCATTCTGTTCCCTCATAAAATTTCTTCATTCTTATCCAAAACATAAATATTTCGTCTTTGTTTTCTTATCTCTAACTACTCTCTTACTTCTCCCTTCCTCTTATTCTCTAGCTCTATCTCAACCACATCCTTCTTAATTATTCATATCTCCACTTAAGCAACTCTCTTAACTCCTTTCTACCCACTCTTTCGTAAGATAAATCCTCTCCCTTTTAACAGTCTCCCAATCACTCTTCCTTTTGCACTTATCCTCATATACTTATTACATCTCATTTCGTATTTACTTCATTATCTTTCCTTTTCATTTGTTCTAACTTCAGTTGTCACCCTTCCTTTTCCCCCTTGCTAAACACCTTACCTAAGCTCCCCTTCCCTTCCCTTGCCTACCCCGCGATCATTGCCATTATCCATGTGAGATGAGTGCGTGCGACGGTTCGGGAACGGTTTCGCGAACGTCTGACGCCCCCGCTTTCCAATTCGATGTCATGCCAAAGATAACGACGCCGCCGTCGACGGTGACGCCTATGCCAGCGTCGGCAGCGAGGGCGAAAACGTCGAAAACGACAGCTACAACTACAACGACAACGACGAGAACGGTTAAAATTGAAAATAAATGGCCGGCGGCAGAGGCAACGGCGTTCAGTTATCAGCGAGCAACGGAGCAGATTGGAGCTGAAGCTAAAGCTATAGCTACAGCCAGAGCTAGAGAAACGCCCACGCAGAAAGAGAAAACCGGAATAATAAACAAGATCCACCACCACTGTCCTAATCCATGTGAAGAGCTATCCATTAACAAATTGGCCCTTCGCAAGGCACAATTGAAAGCCGCCTTCTTTGGCAGAAAAGACAACGAAAAGAGTACAACCTGCTGCAATAGTACTTCCTATCGGACCACTTACCGCACTAAATACCCCAGGTGCAAAACAGAACCAGGCAAGCCGGTGCAACAGCTGATCGAACAGTTTCAGGCCATGATTGTCCAGCAGCAACAGCAACAGCTTAACGAGAAGGAGCCAAAGACGCTGCCCGGAGCAACTGCATCCAATTCGGATGAGGGTTGTAATGTCACCGGCGGTGGTCTGTCACCCTATAGCAGTGACAATGAGGATAATACGTTATCACCACGCCAGCGAAAACTGAAGGTTACACGCTGTGCCAGCAGTGATTCCGCCTTGGGCTTGGATGTGGACGATGGCGGTATGGATGTAGTGATGGTACCTCCACAACGCCGGATGACTTTGACGGTTACGGATTTACCTCTGCGACCAGCACTTCTACCACTGGCCGAACCCACAGCTCTGGCAGATTCCCCACTAACATCGCCCACCGGTAATGCCAACTCCAGTGTGGGTGTGCCCACAAAAGTGCTCCTGGAGGAGCGAGTGGTGGCCGCCCCGGGATCACGACGTGAATCAACACAAAGTTCATACAGTGAATTGGGTGGCTTGCCTCTCGGAGTGCGATATGTTCGAACACCATCTGTTGTGGTCAGTGACTATTCGGATGACATAACCGCTTGCGGTATTAGCATGGAGGAGATGGAGTACTTTCGCCTTCAGCGGGCGCGCGGTCAACGTCGCTGTTCCCTGGAAGCGGGACATGGTCATGGCGGAGGACATGGAGGCCATGGACACGGAGGATCCGGAACGGCAGGAATGTCGCCGGGATGCGCCAAGGACGAAGGCCAGTCGGATGTCAGTGCAGCAAGCAGTTGCAGCAACCTGTACTATTGTGGTTCCACCATATCCGCCCTAGATGGTGGCGAGTGCATCGTGAATGGTGTCCGTGTGGCGCTAGCCAGAAAGAGCAGCACCCAAAGTAGCAGTCTAAGTGGAGAGGAAGAGGAGGAGGATAACGACGATGAGGATGAACGTGATGCGGAGGAGGATCGCGATGTGGAGGACCTGCTGCAAGAGGATTACGAGCGGGGGGTTCACGAACGCGAACGTGAGCGACAGATCAGCGAACTTCTGGCCGCCACGCAGCTTGGCGATCGTCAGCGGGATCGATCCAAGAAGGTAGGCGCCCGCAATGACGTCACAAACCAGGGAAATCTCAAACTAGACTAAAGAATACGGGTTGCAAGAAGAAAGAGAGAGAAGAAAAAAAAATACGGACATGTCCCAAAGTGGAGAGGAGCCTTAGTAAATTTAATATTAACCCTTAATTTTTTTTTTTTGTTGTGTTTTTTTTCGAAAGCATAAAAGAGCAGTGAATGAGGGCAGGTCTGAATGGCAGATAAGCAAGTTGGTGCATATACACAGGGAGAAACGAGTGCTAAATCAATGAGAAATCAATGAGAAATCCCAACCAAAAACAGTTTAAGTTTCCAAACAGTAAAGCCTTCTGCATACTATAAATATTTTTTAGAGCAGTATTATATCTTATAGTTTATGAACTGCAAGACCATTATAACAGAAACCATAAAAACAAAAAGAGGAAAAACCAAAAGAAAAAGACTATAATAATAAGACTTATACAATATACCTATTAAATATATTAAATAGATCCAAAATCTTTGTATTATTCTTCTTAAAAATTGCTAAAAAAAAATTCATCTTGTTCTAGAGATGATCTCTTCGGCCTTGAGATCCTTTGGCATTGCTTAAAGATATATATATGGGTGAGGAATTTTAATCCCCTTTAATCAGCTGACGTTTTTTCCCACCGTGTATATGCAGGTCTTAGTGCGAGTGTGTGCGTTTGCTTAAAAGGCTGTTAATTAATTTGATTTTTATCTTATCACTAGAATGAGGTTCTGTTGCTCGGAGAAGTCTTTTTGGTATTCTTCGCTTTCCGTTCGCTATTATTATTATTATTATTTTGTTTTTTTCTTTTTTGTGTGTGTGAATGAGAACGATATGGTGGTGATGTTGAAAAATAAGGGGTGCCTTGATAAAAAGTATATACTTATCAACCGAAATACGAAAAAAGAAAACCTCGGTTCATTCCCAATTTTTTTTTTTTTTTTTATCTAGAACTTTAACAACACAACGCCAGCGACAGCGAGCTTATCTTAGTTAACTGTATATTGTATTATAGATAAATATTATGTACATATATGTATATATAATATAAGCCAGCACATATTTACCTTTATATAATGACATCTTTTTGTTGTTGTTGCTCTTGTTGTTATGGCTATCAACAGACGGCAAAAAGTTTGTAAACCAAATAAAAGTATTAGTAACCGAATTTTCGGAGTCATGATAACGATAATAAAGCAATCCACCTGGATATGTCGTCGTCTATATATAAGCAAGAGATATGGATATGTGTGTTGTCTGTATGTGTGTGTATATTTGGTTAATAATGTTACGCGCTTATCAAGCGGGTTTATCTCTCTGGCATTTATATAGTATACATATATGCCCTCGCCACCGCCGACGAGCCACAAAAGTAATAATCGCAGGGATCCCAGAAATGGGCTGTTCTTCTTTCTTTCTGTTTTTTTTTTGTATTTTTTTTTGTTTAACCCACGAGTGTGGTGTGTGGAGCTTAGTACCATATATACTATATAGTGTGGCTATATATGTGTTGATCCCCCATCCGTCAGACTAAGTCACTTGTATAACGCTCTGTCTTACGGCGGTTCTTTGTTTTTGACTTCATTTTTCTTGGACATAAGTGATAAGAGATCTTTGGCTATATCACAGATACGTCATCGTTCTAATTAGGATTCAGATATATGTATATGACACATGTGGGGATTACTCCATAAGTCATGGGAATCTTTATACACCTCTGTTGATAAACAGTCTATGAGGTGGAGAATGCTATTTCTTAGGAAGTTCTAGAACTTCAATCCTTAAATCATTCTTATTATTAGATTCTTATTCTTATAATCTACTTGTTGACCCACTTTATATAGTACGTACGTTTTAATTTCAGTTTCATCGCCATTTGCATACACTTTTTATTCAGCCTCCACTTCTCTGTAAGATCAGCTTCAATTTTATTAGCATGTGATTACAAGTTTCTGCCCATTTGAATACGATTCTTATTCAACTTCCGTCTTTGGCTTTATTTGTTATGAGAATTGCCTGGGATTTGATTTTGATTTGTGTTAGATTTGATCGTGAATATGCTTGATGAGAAGTACGTATGATATGACCTTGTTACATGGCGAATGTTTCGATTTTTACGGATTTGTGTATATTTATTAAGCCTAAGCAGCTTACTTCCTAACCTTATCCCATTCTAGTTTCTAGTACATGACTATCTCATATAAAATTCTATATATCAGTAGTTTTCCCCAATCTATATTACTAACTCATAACAACCTCAAGTTCCATTCATATATTTAAAGACGTAGAAGTCGGCTTATTATCAGGAATGGATATATCATCAGCCACATGATGCTGGTCGCCTTGCTAGTGCCATGCACCCGATATCACTAGTGTTTGGATTTGCATTCTTGGGAGCACCATTTCCTGGTATCCTACTCATCCTATCCGACCGCCTGTCACCGTGCCTTATCACGGTTGTCATTATGGTTTTTCAACCCAAAAACAAGAGACAGAGAGAGAGAGTGACCAGGAGGGACGATCTTGTTTAGTTATTCTTCGCATTCCATGGGATGGGTTTTGTTTATTATTTTTTTCTATACTGATGGGAACTGTAGACCTGTAGAGCTATGGAACTGTAGAACTAAGGCCTGACTGAAGGCCCGAGGCGCTGTCTTCGCATTGTTTTGTTATTGTGTGGACGATGTGGACACTGCGGCGTGGGCTTCATAGAAATGCCTTTTGCTTACTTAAAGATAAAGCCCCTGTGTGGGTGCCCCAAAGTCACCGACAATATCGCCATTTGGTCTGCTGACGTCGCTGTGACGTCACTCGAGTGCCTTTGTTTAACCCCCCCTTCTTCTTCTTCTTCTTCTTCTTCTTCTACCCATCTTCCCATCTTCATTCGTGTCATGATCATTAATAATATCAGCTCTGTGAAGTGCAAAGTCAGCGAGAGATTCTTTTCATGGACTGCGGCGGAAAATATCTTCTTTATGGACCGCAAAATATTGATAAAAATTAAACGATAATAAACAGGAAATATGACGCAGATATAAAGGAATATAAATTAGATTTGAGTTGCATTTTTAGTACAAACTAAATCCATGAAGTTTACAGCTATTGATTAGAGGAAAAGTTCTTAAAGTTGGAATATCTATAAAATGTAAGCTAATTTCCCTTTAATAACCATCAAAGTAATATTTATGAAAAGTTAAAACTATAAACTACTCCCTTTAGGTAAACATCATTTTTTCCAGTTAATTAAATCACATCATTTAGATAAACACGTTTCCATTTATTTACTTGATGAGGTCATTTATTACATTATTAAATTTATATTTAAAACCCGAAAGACACTATCTTGTCAATAGGGGAATTGTTAATAATGCACTGATAAAAAATATAAATTAAAAACTAAACTGTCACGTATTAAAATTTATAGTAAGTCCATACTTATTTTAAACCAACTTAATTTATAGTGTCTTGTCTTTAAAGAAAGTATGAGTATAATAATAATAAAAAATATCTGTAATAACTAAAAATGAAAAAAGATTAATCAGGCTTAATATAATTTCGCTATTATTTAAATAAATACGTGTCTTAGCACTTAACGCTTCTGTTATAAGCAGGAAAAAGCGGTTTGGATTGGTTCCTTATTGGTTTTAATCAGTTAGAAACTGGTTTCTAGACCTCACTTAGTACTCCTGTATAAAATGTAAAAACTTTTAGGATTTACGAGATATCATAAAGCCCATCTTCTATAGCTGAGACTAACACTCGTTTCGATATCACCCTTTCCCGAGAGTAGCGTAGCTGATCTTTGCCTGACGTCCAACCATAATGATTGGATCGTGTGGTGCTATTTTGTTATTTTTTTTTATACTTATTTTTTTTTTTAATAGCCTTTATGGTCTCCGTGGGTCGTGCACATCCGTCACAGTCCGATCAGCCCGTCCCATTCCGATTCCCATTCCCATTTCTAGACCCATTCCCAGCGCTGTTATATCTAATCAACACATCGACGACAGTGACGGGTGTAAAAGTGGGCAACGGAGGGAATTCGTCAGAGGAGGAATTGGAAATGGGAATGGGAATGGGAATTATGACGCCCACTAATTGTGTGAGAAATCGATTTAGCGGCGAGATCTGTCCCCCTGGCATTACGAACTCTTCCCCTCTACCCACATCCACTTGTAAGTCAGATCTGGGAGTACTTTTTGGTACAATCCGTTGACCTTCGCACAAGCGACAACTTCCGTTGACGTCAGCGGCTGTCGCCCATCAGCGATCGCGGTGAAGATCGTCGCAAGTAAATTATATTGCCGCAAGCACCCCCTCCTTCTCATTTCTGTTCTCCACCACTAGCTCCCTTGCCACCCAGCCCTTACCCGCTTGCCCTTCCCCCCTGCGAAAGCCACAAGGAATACCCGTAGGAATTAAAGACCAGCTTGGGTTACCCTGCAAAATGAAACAAGAGGCTATATAAGGCAACTTAAGCGAACGTTTTTAATTAATTAGGAAACTAGGTAACTTTTTATTTATTATTGCTCTTATTTTTTGTATAAATTTGATTACAAAATCAAAAGTTTATCGAACTTTGGCTAGCTTCTATCATAAAAATTACTCATCATTTATAGGTTTGTTTATTTTTATAAATTATTTTTTTTATTGCTCTTTCGATTAATGAACTTTGGCTCATAAAAATGAGTCATTTTTTATAAGTTTATTTACTTTTTGTTTAATATAAATTGTATCTGCCAATTAAGGTGTTGGCTATCAATATAATTTTTTATTCAAAATTATTAAAAAATTGATTTATTTTGTAGAACTTAAACTTTGATAACTTCATAAAGTCAACTGTTGCTTTCAAGAATAAGTTATCGAAATAATCAGTAATTAAAGTCAATCGAAAATCAACAAAGAATGACATGAATTTATCGGTTTTTATCAATAAAATGGCCTGGCTATCCATATGATTGGTAATCAAAGTCAATTATGGCACTGATTGATCGATTAATGTGCTGAGATATAAAACTTTGGGCTAATAATACAATTTCAACGATAATTGATGAATTTATAATGAGAAAGTATATAGTAAAAACCCATTTTTGATAAGTTTAATTTCTGGATAAAGTGCAGTGGAAGTGAACTTGAATTATTTTTGAAACTCAAATGATATTTGATAGTAACCTAGTAACAAGGGTATCTTGACAAACAGTAATGAGAAGTTGTTTTCGCAATCGAATCCAAGGTCCAGTTGCAATCCCCAGATCGGATACCCTTTGGAGTCGTCTCCGAATCTCGGGTGTGCGCAATTTGCGTCATTTGCTCTTGTCGAAGTTGTTTGTTGGTTTCAGTTTTTGTTTTTTGTTTTTCAGCTGGTTCTCCGATTCCACGGCTGGTTATGTTTGTTTCGCGTTTGCAGTTTCCACTGAATTGAATCCGAGTCGTCGATCTTCGGGGACCAGCTACATATGCACAGGAAGAAATCGGATATTGGCTTACATTAGCAAAGCAATTTGATTCTTAGAAAAGTATCTGGGAAGCAGTATTAATATTAATGTTCTGCTTAAAAGTGAGGAAACAATTTGTACTCTATAGAAAATGTGAAAATACATTATTTCATAGCATACTTTTTGGCACTGCCACTAGAGTTTTCACCACAGTGGAATGTTTTCTTTGTCCAAAAAATAGTTAGCAATTATCTAAAGAAATATTACCTAGTTTTTTTTTCCAGTGCATTGCAGTTTGCGTGCCAGCATATTTGTCATTCCTGTGAGTGCAGGCAGTTCCCTGCCCCATCTTAACCCCTTCTTTGCCGACTCCTTAAAGGTTATGTAGTTGTTTCGCATGTCCCCAAGCGATGGCACCCGAAACACACGCGCCACCAGCAACATGCAACATGCAACATCCGTGTGGTATTGGTTTTGATTTACACTAGACAGCTGGGTTTGAGTTTATACAGAGGTAAACATGCCTTTGCATTTATAAATACCATTAAAGCAGGAAATTATAAAAATATTCAAGTTTATAGTTTATAGTACTTAACACCTTTTTGTTTCCAATAAAGTTTTACACTTTTCAGATAAATAAAAATGAAATCGACACATGCCTAGATAAAGAGTTATAAAATAGTACCAAAAATAGATAGAAATCAGAACTTTTCCATGGCATTTCACTGGCATTGTCAGGGCAATAAACAGAAAATTAGCAAATATTTGAAGGTCT